CCTGATGCCTTTTTACTTAGTCTGTCACCAGGACTTACAGGCTGTTGGTGAATTCTTGATTGATTGTTGGCAGTGCTTTTTCTTAATCGTTTGAACCACTGTCCTATCTGAAATTTGGTGCTTATTTCTCCCAGGTGATTCGGGATGTGATAAACGTGCACATGGAGGAGCTCAGTAACCACTGGCAAGACGAGCAGGGCCGAGCAGAGGGAGATGCTGAGAAGTATGTCACTGTCTGCACTGGGAAACTTGTGATTTAATTTTTGGCAGGGCTGGGGTCAAGCCCAGGGTCGTGCGCACGATGAACAAGGGCTCTGCCACTGTTATGCATCTGTGCCCAAAGAGTACCTGGTAGTCTGGTGTGTTAAATTTTAGCTTATCAAAATTTTTTATTTTGACACAGGGGCTCACTGGACTATATCTGAACTATGTAGTTCAGATTTGCCTTCAACTCAACTATGTAGCCCAGGCCGACCTTATACTCCCAGGGATCCTCCTGGCTCAGCCTCCCAAGGGCTGGGAGTGGAGGTGTGCACCACCACACCTGGCTTAATTTTAGCATTTTTTGAGACCTTTAGTAACATTCCATAATTCATCAGCGTTATTCTGTATTATCATCAGTGCCTAGAATTTTACTAGAAGCTGGGCATGGTGGCGCATGCCTGTAATCCCAGTACTCAGGAGGCTGAGGCAGGAGAGTTCAAGATTGGCTTGGGCTACAAGGTGAGCTCAGAGTCAGCCTGAACTGCATAGGGAGACCCTGTCTCAAAAAACAAAGAATTTGACTAGAATTATTCTATGATGTCATCAGTCTTTGGCACAGAGAGTAGGGGAAACAACCATATTACTGAAATAGTTTAAAGATTAAACATTGGGCTGGGAGATAGCTTGGCAGCATAAGCGCCTGCCTGGCAAGTGTAAGGTCCCGAGCTCAATCCCTGGTACTGCATGCAGTGTGGGCCCTGGAACCAGGTGTGGTGGTGCACGCCTGTAACCCCAGCGCTGGGGAGGCTGTGACAGGAGGATCACTACAAGTCTGAATAGTCTCTGCATAGTGGGACCCACTA